GAGGGAAAATATGCCAAGCCAAGCTGTCTTTAAGTCTTTAAAGATTTAAAATTTTATTTATTTATCATTTGGGGTGTGTGGGTGTACATGTGTACAGGTTTATGTGGAGGTCAGAGGTCCACCTTGGGTGTCGTTCCTAAAGAGCTGTCTAACCTTGTTTTCTGAGACAGGGTCTCTTACTGGCACCTGGCACTAGCCCATTAGACTAAATTGGGTGACTGCAATCCCTAGAGATATGCCCTGCCCCCACCAGGGATTCCAAGCACATGCCACTGTTAGGGATTAGGGATTGAACTCAAAACTTGATTGCCTGTCCAATACTTAACCAACTAAATTATCTCCTTCGGATCCCTGTATATATATTTTTTTTAGCTTTTTTTCCCCTCTACTGTGTTTTTTAAAGCCCTGTTTAAGGCCAGGGGGTGGCTCAGGGGGTAAAGTGTTTGCTGCATAGCCACAAGTGCCTGCTTTTGGGCCTCCAGCACCTGAATAGAAGCTGGGTATTTGCAGTGCATGGTTGTCATATGAGCACCTGTAAAAAGAGATAGGGAGATCTCAGTGGCAAGTCTAGCCCATCAGTGAGCTCTAGAAGCTGTTTCAAAAAATAAAATGGAAAGTAATTGAGGAAGACACTTAAGATCACGCTCTGGCTTCCATGTGCAGATTGTTGCCCCGAAAGACAGATGGCCCGATGCTGCCCAGGAACTCGAATTGGGTGACTGTCAGGGCAGCCAGGTGTTTCCTATCATCCCATGGTTTGGAAGTCGCCTGCTTACTGAGTTCCTATTATTTCCTTCATGGGTCTCTGAGAGAGTTAAGGATTTGATAGCTATGGTTCTAGTTTTCCAGATAAAGAAAGCAAATTATGATACAAAGTCAATTAGGGAAAAGACTTGGAACCCAAATAAATAGGCTAGATGTAAAATCTTTTCTCTAAATTTGTCAAATGCAAATGGACTGGATGTTGTTGATGTATTTATTGCCTGTACATATTGTATATAAGCATATTACTAATGGCCTTCTTTTTTCTTAAGACATAGTGTCATTCAGTAGTATTTTAACAAATAAAGATTACCTGAAGATCTGAGAGTCTCACGGATCAGCCTTAATGAGCAGATTTAGAAACACACACCTTTAATCCCAGTAGCCACACCCTAACACACACTCTAATCCCATTGGTGCAGGCCTTTAGTCCCACCCCTAGAGGAGAACATAAAAAGGCGTGGAGACCTCTCTCAGACACAGTCTCTCTCATTGTGAGATTTCTGGAGGTAGCAAGCTGGACTTGGCAGCACGGACTAGCACAAAGCAAAGGAAGGAGAGGGTGGGCCGGACAAGCAGAAGTGTCAGCGGACTAGGTAGCCAAGGGACCAGGAGTGAGCTTCGCATCATACCCTTTAGGCAAGCGCCTAACCCAAGCACCCAGCAAATAAACCCGAGTGGTTCTTGACAGCTCAGATTCAGCAAACCCGCCCGCAGCGTCCGCGAGAGGAGCCCTGAGGTCCATCTCCTTCGATTCTCAGGACCTGAAGATGGATGCACAGTCAGGGCGGAATGTGGTGCTAATAAGAACCACCAAGTTGTCTCTCAATGAGCGCTTTACTAGTCTGGTGGAGAACAAACAGTCCACGCCAGTGACTATTCGGTCTTCGCTGCAGCAGCAGCTGCAAGGCAGCGCCAGAAACAGAAGACTGGCCCAGCAGATGGAGAATAGACCCTCTGTCCAGGCAGCATTAAAACTTAAGCAGCGCCTGGGTAACAAGAGGAACATCCAGGCTCCCTTAGGCCTACCCAGAGGTGACCTGTCCAGGGGAGCGATTGGAGGACGAGGCCTACCCAAAATCCAGGGAGGCTTTCGCCGAGGACGAGGAAGTGGAAGAGGAAGAGGAAGGGGAGGACTACGTGGGGGACTTGCCACCAGAAGCCTGCCAAGGGGCGGGTTGTCATTCCAAGGTCGAAGCCCGCTCCTCCGAGGTGAACAAGACTTTGCTGCCCCACAAATGGACTCAAGGGGTGGTGCTGTTCCAGGTCGTGGAGGTCCTGGGAGAAGGGGCCGAGGGCGTGCAGCTAGGGGTCGTGGTGGAATCGGTGGTAGAGGTCTGGCTGTGATAGGTTGGGGAAGAGGGAACTTTGGATGCCGTGGTCGAGGCAGAGGAGGTCGGGGAAGAGGGAACTTTGGATGCCGTGGTCGAGGCAGAGGTGCCCGCACTCGCCCTGCATTGACCAAGGAGCAGCTGGACAAAGAACTGGATGCATACATGTCCAACACTAAAGCACGCCTGGATGCTGAGTTGGATGCCTACATGGCAGAGGCAGATTCTGAAACTGAAGCCTGCCTGCCTGCCTCTTAGACTCTCGGGAAATCACCACAGCTGTGCCTATGAAGAAATAGCCTTGAGCACCCATGAGAAGGACCCTGACTGAGGCCGGAAGGACTCACACCATGGGTTGTGGACTCCCTTGCCACCAGTGGGTGCCTTTCGGATGCTCTGTGAAATAAATAAAATAAATTAATTTTAACAATAATTTGTCAGCTGTTCAGTTTCAGTGGAATCCATTTATCTGGCTCGTGATAACAAACTGTTGTCTCATTCAAAAAATTTATCAGCACCCAATCATTAGGAAGTAGCCTAGAAAACTATGCACATTTCTCCCCTCCACCCAAAAATGGATTATGGATGTTGGTTTTTGTGTAATGTGTTAGTTACAATTTATTATGGATAATGCTTAGGGAAAACCTAAACAAAGCATCTTTGGTTAGATCCAAAGTTTTTGTTTTGCAAAACAAAGCCTGGGCGTTGGTGGCAATCAATTTAATCCCCACACTTGGGAGGCAGAAGCAGGCTGGTCTTAATGAGTTCAAGGTCAGCCTGGTCTACAGAGCAAGTTCCCGGACAGGTTCTACTGCTACTCAGAAACCCTGGCTCAAAAATCCACAATGGTGAAACAGAAGGAGACAGAGATAGAGAGAGAGAGAGAGAGAGAGAGAGAGAGAGAGACAGAGAGTGACAGAGACAGAGAGAGAAGAGAGATAAAATGAAAAAATAAATAAAAAAGATTATTGATCCACTTTTCAGCACCTATTTGTTTTAAGTGTTTTGCAATTGGTTTAGTATTGTATACTGTATACAAATTTTGTACATTGATACAAACTTGAGGTCAATTTTAGTAAAACATGCTCTACATACATTTCCATTCTTGTCTGAGCTATTGTACCTCTACAGCTCACTTAATATAAATTAATATAAATTTTTAGACTTTGAAAATTCTTATTATCAATTAACTGTTTAATATAATAAAGAAATATAGGTTAGTAGTTAATCACCTAGTACAATTGAACTCATAGTCATACTAGGTATATTTTCAGGATGAAACAAAGATAATTTAGAAGGATAGGTCATTTTAAAACACTTCAGAGATCTACAGAATATGGCAATTAAAATGTTTTAATAACCTTGGTTGTTCTCTGATGTGGGAAGGTCATATGTCTATCTGTTGCTTTCATTGAATAATTAATAAAGAAACTGCTTGGCCTGAAAGGTCCGACGTAGGTGGGAGGAGTAGACAGAACAGAATGCTGGGAAGAAGGGAAGTGAGCCTGACGCCATGCCTCTCCTCTCCAGGGCAGCCGCCCTGGAGCCAGCCGCCAGGTCAGACGTGCTGAATCTTTCCCGGTAAGCCACCACATGGTGGTGCAACACAGATTATTAGAAATGGGTTAATCAAGATGTGAGATTAGGCAATAAGAGGCTAGAACCAACGGGCCAAGCAGTGTTTAAAAGAATACAGTTTGTGTGTTGTTATTTCGGGGCATAAGCTGGCCAGGCGGCTGGGAGCCAGGCGGCAGGCTCGCAGCCCAGAGCTCCTTGTACACTTCTCTTTGTGACGATGAGACACGTCTGCTTCTTGCAACTGCAATCTTCTTCAGAGAACATAATGGACATGGAAGAAACTGCACATGGAGTTTACTTTCTCTGTGGCAAAAAGGAAGCCATCGGGCAAAAAATGCCCTTGTCTCAACTGCTGACATGACATTGTCCTAAAGACAAGCAGGACACAGAATATCCTCCCTCACAGAAAAGCCTGTCGAATATGCTAGGCCTGAAGGCTGAAGATGGATGCCCCGATGCTACCAGAAACTCGGTTTGGGTTACTGCACGGGCAGACAGTTGTTTTCTGTCATTGCATGGTTTGGAAGTCGCCTGCTTGCACCTCCCGCTTACTCAGTTCCTGTTATTTCCTTCTTGGGTCTCTGAGGGAGTTGAGGATTTGATGGCTACAGCTCTAGTTTTCCAGAAAAAGAAAGCAAATTACGATAGAAAATCAATTAGGGAGAAAACTTTGAACCCAAATAGATAGGATAGAGGTGAAATCTTTCTCTGAATTTGTCAAACACAAATGGATGGGGCATTGTTGATGTATTTATTGCCTGTACTCATTGTGTATGTTCATATTCGTCATAGCCTTCTCTTTTCTCTTAGATAGAAAGTGGGAAAATGGTGACATTTCAATAGTATTTTAATAAATAAAGATTACCTAAAGATCTGAGAGTAAAAGAGTGCCATGGATCAGCCTAAAGAGCAGATTTAGAAACACACACCTTTAATCCCAGTAGCCACACCCTAACACACACTCTAATCCCATTGGTGCAGGCCTTTAGTCCCACCCCTAGAGGAGAACATAAAAAGGCGTGGAGACCTCTCTCAGACACAGTCTCTCTCATTGTGAGATTTCTGGAGGTAGCAAGCTGGACTTGGCAGCACGGACTAGCACAAAGCAAAGGAAGGAGAGGGTGGGCCGGACAAGCAGAAGTGTCAGCGGACTAGGTAGCCAAGGGACCAGGAGTGAGCTTCGCATCATACCCTTTAGGCAAGCGCCTAACCCAAGCACCCAGCAAATAAACCCGAGTGGTTCTTGACAGCTCAGATTCAGCAAACCCGCCCGCAGCGTCCGCGAGAGGAGCCCTGAGGTCCATCTCCTTCGATTCTCAGGACCTGAAGATGGATGCACAGTCAGGGCGGAATGTGGTGCTAATAAGAACCACCAAGTTGTCTCTCAATGAGCGCTTTACTAGTCTGGTGGAGAACAAACAGTCCACACCAGTGACTATTCGGTCTTCGCTGCAGCAGCAGCTGCAAGGCAGCGCCAGAAACAGAAGACTGGCCCAGCAGATGGAGAATAGACCCTCTGTCCAGGCAGCATTAAAACTTAAGCAGCGCCTGGGTAACAAGAGGAACATCCAGGCTCCCTTAGGCCTACCCAGAGGTGACCTGTCCAGGGGAGCGATTGGAGGACGAGGCCTACCCAAAATCCAGGGAGGCTTTCGCCGAGGACGAGGAAGTGGAAGAGGAAGAGGAAGGGGAGGACTACGTGGGGGACTTGCCACCAGAAGCCTGCCAAGGGGCGGGTTGTCATTCCAAGGTCGAAGCCCGCTCCTCCGAGGTGAACAAGACTTTGCTGCCCCACAAATGGACTCAAGGGGTGGTGCTGTTCCAGGTCGTGGAGGTCCTGGGAGAAGGGGCCGAGGGCGTGCAGCTAGGGGTCGTGGTGGAATCGGTGGTAGAGGTCTGGCTGTGATAGGTTGGGGAAGAGGGAACTTTGGATGCCGTGGTCGAGGCAGAGGAGGTCGGGGAAGAGGGAACTTTGGATGCCGTGGTCGAGGCAGAGGTGCCCGCACTCGCCCTGCATTGACCAAGGAGCAGCTGGACAAAGAACTGGATGCATACATGTCCAACACTAAAGCACGCCTGGATGCTGAGTTGGATGCCTACATGGCAGAGGCAGATTCTGAAACTGAAGCCTGCCTGCCTGCCTGCCTCTTAGACTCTCGGGAAATCACCACAGCTGTGCCTATGAAGAAATAGCCTTGAGCACCCATGAGAAGGACCCTGACTGAGGCCGGAAGGACTCACACCATGGGTTGTGGACTCCCTTGCCACCAGTGGGTGCCTTTCGGATGCTCTGTGAAATAAACCCCATTTCCCCTTGATTCGGCTGAGTTTGTTTTGTTGTTTATCCAGTCACCCAGACTTGGGTTTAAGCAGGAAGGCGTTGGCCCTGTGAGGAGAACTTTTTTCCAGTCTCTGCCTCACCTGCTGTATACGCCGATAGATTAATATTTCTTCTAATCACATTTATGATCCCAGAAAGAATTCCCAGAAGCAGCCAGAGTTCTCACTGATGTGAGCTCTCTGGGTTAGAGTTCTACACCTTCCTTAAGAGCTGTGTGCTATGTTGATGGTGAAGGTGGTAATTTGGAAATGTTGATAGTGCTCCTGAGTCAGGACCGGCGTACACGTTGTGGCCACTTTGATTTAGTCTTTGACATTGCATAGGACATGCTGAGCTGGATGTGTAGAATTTCCACCCTAAAATAACATTTTTTAACTGTTTTGGCCTTTGTGTCATTTCCAAGAGATTTTTCACATTTAGTGAAAGAGAAGCCATTTGTGGTCGCCAAAGACACTCGGCTAGGAGAAGCTTTACAACCTAACTGCAGACATGCAGTTACCTATGTCCAGAACCAGTCTTGGTTCAATCTACATAAATCGCTTTTTGTTTTGAACCTCTTGAAGGTTTAATTTTAACAATAATTTGTCAGCTGTTCAGTTTCAGTGGAATCCATTTATCTGGCTCGTGATAACAAACTGTTGTCTCACTCAAAAAATTTATCAGCACCCAATCATTAGGAAGTAGCCTAGAAAACTATGCACATTTCTCCCCTCCACCCAAAAATGGATTATGGATGTTGGTTTTTGTGTAATGTGTTAGTTACAATTTATTATGGATAATGCTTAGGGAAAACCTAAACAAAGCATCTTTGGTTAGATCCAAAGTTTTTGTTTTGCAAAACAAAGCCTGGGCGTTGGTGGCAATCAATTTAATCCCCACACTTGGGAGGCAGAAGCAGGCTGGTCTTAATGAGTTCAAGGTCAGCCTGGTCTACAGAGCAAGTTCCCGGACAGGTTCTACTGCTACTCAGAAACCCTGGCTCAAAAATCCACAATGGTGAAACAGAAGGAGACAGAGATAGAGAGAGAGAGAGAGAGAGAGAGAGAGACAGAGACAGAGACAGAGAGTGACAGAGACAGAGAGAGAAGAGAGATAAAATGAAAAAATAAATAAAAAAGATTATTGATCCACTTTTCAGCACCTATTTGTTTTAAGTGTTTTGCAATTGGTTTAGTATTGTATACTGTATACAAATTTTGTACATTGATACAAACTTGAGGTCAATTTTAGTAAAACATGCTCTACATACATTTCCATTCTTGTCTGAGCTATTGTACCTCTACAGCTCACTTAATATAAATTAATATAAATTTTTAGACTTTGAAAATTCTTATTATCAATTAACTGTTTAATATAATAAAGAAATATAGGTTAGTAGTTAATCACCTAGTACAATTGAACTCATAGTCATACTAGGTATATTTTCAGGATGAAACAAAGATAATTTAGAAGGATAGGTCATTTTAAAACACTTCAGAGATCTACAGAATATGGCAATTAAAATGTTTTAATAACCTTGGTTGTTCTCTGATGTGGGAAGGTCATATGTCTATCTGTTGCTTTCATTGAATAATTAATAAAGAAACTGCTTGGCCTGAAAGGTCCGACGTAGGTGGGAGGAGTAGACAGAACAGAATGCTGGGAAGAAGGGAAGTGAGCCTGACGCCATGCCTCTCCTCTCCAGGGCAGCCGCCCTGGAGCCAGCCGCCAGGTCAGACGTGCTGAATCTTTCCCGGTAAGCCACCACATGGTGGTGCAACACAGATTATTAGAAATGGGTTAATCAAGATGTGAGATTAGGCAATAAGAGGCTAGAACCAACGGGCCAAGCAGTGTTTAAAAGAATACAGTTTGTGTGTTGTTATTTCGGGGCATAAGCTGGCCAGGCGGCTGGGAGCCAGGCGGCAGGCTCGCAGCCCAGAGCTCCTTGTACACTTCTCTTTGTGACGATGAGACACGTCTGCTTCTTGCAACTGCAATCTTCTTCAGAGAACATAATGGACATGGAAGAAACTGCACATGGAGTTTACTTTCTCTGTGGCAAAAAGGAAGCCATCGGGCAAAAAATGCCCTTGTCTCAACTGCTGACATGACATTGTCCTAAAGACAAGCAGGACACAGAATATCCTCCCTCACAGAAAAGCCTGTCGAATATGCTAGGCCTGAAGGCTGAAGATGGATGCCCCGATGCTACCAGAAACTCGGTTTGGGTTACTGCACGGGCAGACAGTTGTTTTCTGTCATTGCATGGTTTGGAAGTCGCCTGCTTGCACCTCCCGCTTACTCAGTTCCTGTTATTTCCTTCTTGGGTCTCTGAGGGAGTTGAGGATTTGATGGCTACAGCTCTAGTTTTCCAGAAAAAGAAAGCAAATTACGATAGAAAATCAATTAGGGAGAAAACTTTGAACCCAAATAGATAGGATAGAGGTGAAATCTTTCTCTGAATTTGTCAAACACAAATGGATGGGGCATTGTTGATGTATTTATTGCCTGTACTCATTGTGTATGTTCATATTCGTCATAGCCTTCTCTTTTCTCTTAGATAGAAAGTGGGAAAATGGTGACATTTCAATAGTATTTTAATAAATAAAGATTACCTAAAGATCTGAGAGTAAAAGAGTGCCATGGATCAGCCTAAAGAGCAGATTTAGAAACACACACCTTTAATCCCAGTAGCCACACCCTAACACACACTCTAATCCCATTGGTGCAGGCCTTTAGTCCCACCCCTAGAGGAGAACATAAAAAGGCGTGGAGACCTCTCTCAGACACAGTCTCTCTCATTGTGAGATTTCTGGAGGTAGCAAGCTGGACTTGGCAGCACGGACTAGCACAAAGCAAAGGAAGGAGAGGGTGGGCCGGACAAGCAGAAGTGTCAGCGGACTAGGTAGCCAAGGGACCAGGAGTGAGCTTCGCATCATACCCTTTAGGCAAGCGCCTAACCCAAGCACCCAGCAAATAAACCCGAGTGGTTCTTGACAGCTCAGATTCAGCAAACCCGCCCGCAGCGTCCGCGAGAGGAGCCCTGAGGTCCATCTCCTTCGATTCTCAGGACCTGAAGATGGATGCACAGTCAGGGCGGAATGTGGTGCTAATAAGAACCACCAAGTTGTCTCTCAATGAGCGCTTTACTAGTCTGGTGGAGAACAAACAGTCCACGCCAGTGACTATTCGGTCTTCGCTGCAGCAGCAGCTGCAAGGCAGCGCCAGAAACAGAAGACTGGCCCAGCAGATGGAGAATAGACCCTCTGTCCAGGCAGCATTAAAACTTAAGCAGCGCCTGGGTAACAAGAGGAACATCCAGGCTCCCTTAGGCCTACCCAGAGGTGACCTGTCCAGGGGAGCGATTGGAGGACGAGGCCTACCCAAAATCCAGGGAGGCTTTCGCCGAGGACGAGGAAGTGGAAGAGGAAGAGGAAGGGGAGGACTACGTGGGGGACTTGCCACCAGAAGCCTGCCAAGGGGCGGGTTGTCATTCCAAGGTCGAAGCCCGCTCCTCCGAGGTGAACAAGACTTTGCTGCCCCACAAATGGACTCAAGGGGTGGTGCTGTTCCAGGTCGTGGAGGTCCTGGGAGAAGGGGCCGAGGGCGTGCAGCTAGGGGTCGTGGTGGAATCGGTGGTAGAGGTCTGGCTGTGATAGGTTGGGGAAGAGGGAACTTTGGATGCCGTGGTCGAGGCAGAGGAGGTCGGGGAAGAGGGAACTTTGGATGCCGTGGTCGAGGCAGAGGTGCCCGCACTCGCCCTGCATTGACCAAGGAGCAGCTGGACAAAGAACTGGATGCATACATGTCCAACACTAAAGCACGCCTGGATGCTGAGTTGGATGCCTACATGGCAGAGGCAGATTCTGAAACTGAAGCCTGCCTGCCTGCCTCTTAGACTCTCGGGAAATCACCACAGCTGTGCCTATGAAGAAATAGCCTTGAGCACCCATGAGAAGGACCCTGACTGAGGCCGGAAGGACTCACACCATGGGTTGTGGACTCCCTTGCCACCAGTGGGTGCCTTTCAGATGCTCTGTGAAATAAACCCCATTTCCCCTTGATTCGGCTGAGTTTGTTTTGTTGTTTATCCAGTCACCCAGACTTGGGTTTAAGCAGGAAGGCGTTGGCCCTGTGAGGAGAACTTTTTTCCAGTCTCTGCCTCACCTGCTGTATACGCCGATAGATTAATATTTCTTCTAATCACATTTATGATCCCAGAAAGAATTCCCAGAAGCAGCCAGAGTTCTCACTGATGTGAGCTCTCTGGGTTAGAGTTCTACACCTTCCTTAAGAGCTGTGTGCTATGTTGATGGTGAAGGTGGTAATTTGGAAATGTTGATAGTGCTCCTGAGTCAGGACCGGCGTACACGTTGTGGCCACTTTGATTTAGTCTTTGACATTGCATAGGACATGCTGAGCTGGATGTGTAGAATTTCCACCCTAAAATAACATTTTTTAACTGTTTTGGCCTTTGTGTCATTTCCAAGAGATTTTTCACATTTAGTGAAAGAGAAGCCATTTGTGGTCGCCAAAGACACTCGGCTAGGAGAAGCTTTACAACCTAACTGCAGACATGCAGTTACCTATGTCCAGAACCAGTCTTGGTTCAATCTACATAAATCGCTTTTTGTTTTGAACCTCTTGAAGGTTTAATTTTAACAATAATTTGTCAGCTGTTCAGTTTCAGTGGAATCCATTTATCTGGCTCGTGATAACAAACTGTTGTCTCATTCAAAAAATTTATCAGCACCCAATCATTAGGAAGTAGCCTAGAAAACTATGCACATTTCTCCCCTCCACCCAAAAATGGATTATGGATGTTGGTTTTTGTGTAATGTGTTAGTTACAATTTATTATGGATAATGCT